ATCCAATTTCTAAAGTTACTGTCTATCGGACAGTTTTGCGATTCGAAAGAACGGGTTCAGTTGCAGATGAAAACAGGTCTGGGAGACCTAAAACAGCAACTAACTGCCGGCGATACTTAAACTTTGAAGGTTCGTAACTCAGGAAGATCTCAAGCAAAAAGAGTTTATAACCAGTGCTTTGGAAACATCTTGACACCAACTTTAAGAACATGTAATAGAAAATAGGAGTTTAAATTAAAGATTTCAAAGTTGACCTTCACGGTGTCCTTCAAGGTCACATGAAGGTCATTTTAATATAACCATATAATAGATCACTTAATATACTAAAACTTTTGTATTGAACATTTTCTTCTATAATTATTATTTTCCAAGATATTTGACCGTTACGGAACTTTCTCCCATTACTGTATATTTCATTGAGGGCAATGCACGGTTTGAATTTAGCGCGGCTCTTTAATCATGCCACCTGCCGTCACATGACTGATTTCTATTCTAACAGATGTCGCTGAAACACTTGCATCTTTTAAAGGGGGGAGCTTCCCCTGAGCCAGTATACTCGACCATTAGGGTACTGGTAGGGTGGAAGCGAATCGAAGTGAGTTTTGGTGAGTTCGAACGACACATGCGATGATATAGTTGTCGGTGTAAGCCACTACCCATGGTCTTCGTTTAATTCCGTACCAAGTGTTCCATCCGATTTTGACCTGAGCAAAACCTGCAGAAATGGCCATGCAGTCGTTCAAGAAACGCGTCTGTTATTACTATGATAGTAAGTATCGAGATAGCTATTGTAAAATCACAGAAATATATTTTTCGACGCTTAGCTGAAATGCGTTTGCATCGCTCACGTTCATGTGCCACCTCTGTTTCATCTGGCTTGACACTCAACTGCTAATCAGCCTGTTTTCCGTATGATTATTGTCGAACCGTACGAAGCATGATAGGTCTCGGCACAGTAAACTGAGATTCGCATGCTCATTATGTCTGATAATACGATTTTCGCGTGGTTAAGACGACAGACTTTCAGCTGCGCTGTCGCGCGACTGTAGCGTCAGCCGTTCTTGGTCACACAGCTATCGTATATCCGAGAATTTCGTATCACTACGATAAACTGTGATGCAGTTATTTTTTTTCCAAAATATTTTACGTTCTCCGAAAATATTTTCTGTATGAATCGATAAATCGACCAACGAAATGGAAATTAATACGGTTTTTGTGGAAAATCGCGAGAGATTCTCAAATGTATTCCGGTATACTGTAGTCTTCACTGAACCATTCAATCAATGATGACAAATTTGAAGCCATTTATAGCATTGCCTTGATTTAGTATATATTTTTGCTATTTATCCAGGTGATATTGGAAATTATTATTATGGTCAAGGACATCCTATGAAACCACATCGTATAAGGATGACGCACAATCTACTCTTGAACTATGGTCTTTATAGAAAAATGGAGATATATGTAAGAATATTTTTACAATTATTTTCCACTTGCGTATTTATCTTTTACTTGTTTAGTTTTCTGTCAAAATATTATATTTAGTTGGAATATGGTTATTATACTATATCTGTGTTTTGTAATCTTTTAGCGACCTCATAAAGCTACAGCAGAAGAAATGACAAAATTCCATAGCGATGACTACATCAGATTTCTAAGATCAATACGGCCGGACAATATGGCAGAGTACAACAAACAGATGCAACGATGTAAGTCATCGTTATTGTTGAACAATAATGATTACGTTTGATTGAAATTATGTTTCGAAATACTTTAATACTTCTTTTTTTTTGTTGCGACACAGTTAATGTGGGAGAAGATTGCCCTGTTTTCGATGGCTTGTACGAATTTTGTCAATTATCAGCTGGTGGATCTGTAGCTGCCGCTGTGAAACTCAACAAGCAAGCCTCAGAAATTTGCATTAATTGGGGCGGTGGCTTACATCATGCAAAGAAGAGCGAAGCTTCTGGTTTTTGCTATGTAAATGATATTGTACTTGGGATTTTGGAACTGCTAAAATATCACCAGAGAGTTTTGTACATCGACATTGACGTTCATCATGGCGATGGTGTAGAAGAAGCCTTTTATACAACCGACAGAGTGATGACGGTCTCATTTCACAAGTACGGCGAGTATTTCCCCGGAACAGGAGATCTTCGCGATATAGGGGCAGGAAAGGTAATAATATTTATATTATTATTTATCTAAAATATTAAATTAACCACTGAGTATGTACGGTTTCTTTTTTTATTATTACTAACAGGGAAAGTACTATGCAGTTAATATACCTTTGAGGGATGGTATGAATGATGAAAGTTACGAATCAATATTCGTCCCTATCATCTCTAAAGTGATGGAGACATTTCAACCTTCCGCTGTTGTTTTACAGTGTGGAGCAGATTCATTGACAGGTAAGATTTTTTCAAAAGAAACTTTCCACTGCCGCAGTATTGCATTACTTTTAATTACGAATACTAACCAATGCAGGCGATCGATTGGGATGCTTCAATTTAACTGTGAGGGGCCATGGTAAATGCGTAGAATTTGTGAAGAGATACAATTTACCTTTTCTGATGGTAGGAGGTGGTGGTTATACCATCAGAAATGTGTCTAGATGTTGGACATATGAGACATCGGTGGCTCTCGGATGTGATATTGCTAATGAGCTGCCATACAACGATTACTTTGAATATTTCGGGCCTGACTTTAAATTGCATATTAGTCCTTCAAATATGACAAATCAAAACACTTCTGAATACCTTGATAAAATTAAGTAAGTTTCGATTTTCAATTCTATATGTAATTTGTTTTTATTATTTTTTTTATGTGCATGTGTTAAGAGCGAATTAATTTGTAAATTGCTCTTAATCACAGAACAAGGTTGTTTGAAAACCTGAGAATGCTACCTCATGCACCTGGCGTACAAGTTCAGGCAATACCAGAGGATGGTGCCATAATCGAAGAGTCGGAAATTGAAGAAAAGGTTAATCTTGATGAAAGACTGCCTCAGCGTGATTTAGATAAAAGGATACAACATGAAAATGAGTACAGTGATAGTGAAGATGAAGGTGAAGGTGGACGAAGAGATAACAGATCATACAAGGTAAATGATCTTTATACTAATCTGTTTGATATTTAATCAGTTAATTCTTTTAAAAATTTATTAAAAGCTTAATAAACCTTAATAGGTATAGATATTAAATTTTGAATTTTTTTTCATATTAAAGGGATCTACGAAGCGGCTACGTTTGGAAAAAGGTCAGGAAATAGACATGCGTATTATGAATATTCATATAAAGAAAGAAGATGATGTAAAATCAGACCCTAGAGGTATTAAATTAATTTTTCATTTTACTTTTGCAAATTAATATTTGGAAATATAATTATATGAACGTTTCTGTTTAACTAGAAAATGAAAGGGCTGAAAAAGCAAATCTCATGAATGAAGAAATGAAGAAAGAGGGCGGAATTAATCTCTGATAAGTAGCTCCTTCAAAACTTGCATGATATCTGCACAAGTACAAAAGTCCCTATTTAAAAATTAAATATAGGTTATTTGAAAGGAAAAAAAATAGGATTTTTCATTGGATCGTTATTGCGCTGTATACTGAAGCCTCTTCAGATAGCAGTACCTATGTGTGCAATCTGTTTAGGCCTGAGGCTGAAGACAAGTCATATATGGAATTGTGAAATAAAAAGTATGCGTATATCAGTGACGATCGAGGATCTTCTTCCATGATTTTATGAATTAAGAGAAAGCATCGAGAAGATGAGATGAAATTATGAACGTATGGATTTTGTATATTACTGTATTTGTACTTTTGTATTTAATGAGATAAGTAAAGTTGCTTTACAGTACGTAATTACGATGAAAATTATTATCTTACATTAGGATGAAAATAAATACAAAATCCTATGTTTATTATAACAAATTCGGCAAACATATATACATACATATATATGTTACTAAATCAGTCTGTTACTATCAGAGTGATAGAAAAATGATATCTCCTTCAAAAGATCAATGAAAATGTATTAGCGTTATTCCATATATTATATATATTCGATTAATGTAATGTGTTCTATATACAATCGCCTATATATAAAATTATATATACACCCTTTTTACATTAAAATAATTCTAGAAAGGACTTGACATCACTTCGATTGTGCCTCCAATTTTTTGATTACTTCTAACAAAGTTTCCATCCGTATGTGATCATACAATCTGTCCTCCAATTTTTCTAGAGCTGCTCCACCCTGCATAAAGTCCGCCAAGTTGTAGAGAGTTCCATTCTGACTCAGCCTGTGATCGGTCACGCGATCTTGATTATAATTGTACGTTCTAATCTTTTCATTCCTGAGCCTCATTCCCATTTGCTTTTGCCGTAACTCGCTCGTGGATGACGTTTGCTTGCTCAATTGTTGCTCGTACAGGACGCTCCTCAATTTGTCCATCGCTATCCTTTTATTCTTAGTTTGCGACCTATCGGTCTGACAGGAGACGCTTAGCCCGCTCGGCAGATGCGTTATCCTCACCGCAGAGTCGGTAGTGTTCACGTGTTGACCACCTGCGCCAGACGATCTTTTCGTCTCTATCTTCAGATCTCTCTCATTGATCGCAATCTGTATTTCTGACGGCACTGGCAAAATCGCCACCGAGGCAGTACTGGTGTGCACCCGGCCCAATCTCTCCGTGGCCGGTATCCGTTGCACTCGGTGTACACCGCCCTCGTACCGGAACTTGTCGACCTGGTCGCCAGATATCATAATGTTGACATGTCTAACGCCCTTGTTATCAGTCACCTCTATGTCGATCACCTCGTGCTCCAAATCCAAATACTTGGCGTATCCTGTGTACATATCATACAAATCCTTGACGAACAGCATCGCTTCCTGACCACCGACACCCGCCGTTATTTCGACAATAATACTATTGTAAGAATCTTTATACATGTTTGACAGTATCGTGTTTAACAATCTTTCGTCGAGTGCATTTAATTGCTCTTTATACAACGCCTCTTCCTCCTCCGCTAACTTTTTCATCTCCACGTCTTGTTGTCCTACAAAAAAAGAAATTTATTGATAAAAAAAATGTCAACTGTCATAACGAACGTACCCCATTTTTACCTAAATCATGCAAATTCTGAATATTTTCTATGAGCTGCACTCTTTCGCTCAACAGAACACCGGAAGCATTTAGATCGATGAAGTCGGTCAAGTTATTTTTTCGCCAAGATTTGTTTTTGTACTCGTTCGCGAGATAATCTAAGAACTTTTTAGTTCTATTTTCCAAAATATTTGATCTCGCGTGAGCGTTGCAAAAATGTCTCGAAGTCCAAATCAGACTGGTTAATGACCAAGTATGTAGCTCGTCAAGTTTTATCAGATTTATGAGCTTCGGATATTGCCAATAATTTTTGAATTTGCATCTTCGAATAAGCAAAGACATTCCGCGTATCTGTATACAATATAGTACCGCAACTGATTATAACCTAGATACCCGTGTGCGCACCGGCTGCACACATGCGTAAAATCAGAAGATTTGACTTGATCAGAGGATCCTGAGAACGGCCATGCCCGCGATTTAACTGCGACCGGCGATTGAGCTGGTTTCAGCGCCTCTATATCCACAAAACGTGGACATTGAACACGTAGCCAATTACCACGAATTTGTCGGTAATATCTACAAATTTTTGGTGGTGATCCGTGCTATGTCCACGATTTAGCGGTTGTGTTCCGTGCTATGTGCAGGAATGCGAGTAGGTTAGTTTTAGACAAGGACGGACATCGGTCTTGGTCGCCCTTGTCTCATCAGTTGACAATCACGGAGCTCGAGCGGCGAGTTTGTTATCTCGCGGACACACTCGCCTCTTTCCCCGTTCCGTTTTTTGTTACGCTGCATTACCAAAATTCAGAAAGAGGATTTCGGGCGATTTCTGACAGCGAGATGGAAAATAGTAAAAAGAAATTTTTTCAATATAAATTTTATATGCTGTCGTGCACGCGTGCATATGATTTATGCATAACAAATACGCGAGTGTTCAATATATTATTGTACAATAAATAATAAGAAATAAATAAGAATAATTATAATAATAGAAATATTTTACTTTTTTAATTTTAAGCAATTTTATGTAAAATTTAGCTATTTTAGTTTAATAAATCGCAAGTAAAATATCAGCAAGTGTTGAACTCCTACTTTCAGAAAGCTCTTTCGATTCGGTAGCGTGCCTGCCTATATAATCGCGAGATCGCTGCGTGCCGATTCACATCTCGACGAATAATTTTATTTCAAATTAAAAATTTTAATTCTTACAAAAAAAGATAATAATAATAAATCACGCGGATTTATACACTTTGTCCATTATTTATTTTCCATAACAAAATTTGTACATACATTTTTCCTTTTTTATCAAACACGCTGTCTTGAAAAATAATTTTCTAAATTACTGTGTATTAAAAATAACATTTCTACATTTAGAAAAGGAAGAATATTATGAATAATTGCCTTAGGTCAAGTTTTTTTTTCTTACCCCGCCGGTTGAGATAAGCAGATTTTTTTTCCTTACCCTGCCGGTTGGGGTAAGCAATTACATTGTCATATCTTCTTTTTAGAAGCATCGGTAACAGCTCGTACTTTTATTTATATCGCATTTATTTTGTACATATGGTATTCGGCCCTTGGATTTTTAATGACGTTCATATTTGGATTGATCATTAGCAGTTTGTCTCATTTATTTATTAAGAATCAAAACTAAGAGTTAGGGTGCCGTCCCATAGCAGAGATTTTTCATGTAACGCGCGCATCGCGTAATCTGCAATCGTTATACGCGCGGTTTTCTGTTATGCAAAATTTATTTGCATATGTCCCATGGTACGTAAAAAGATTAGAGCATACATGATGGCATATTTTTATTTATATTCTTTTAGACTGTTCCAATAAAAATTGGAAAGGTCGCAATTCATTGGTTATGCGCATTAATTATAATATACTCCATGGGACATATGGAAATAAATTTTGCGTAACAGAAAACGCATAACGTATAACGCCTCTGACTGGTTACGCAATACGCGTTACATGAAAAATCTCTACCATG